TGGCAGGCGTGGGTTAAAAGCACATTGGAATAATCTGCTGCTTGCGCAAACCCACGCGGCCTTTTACATGCGTGTGACCAGGTAGGTAGCTAGGTAGCTGGGTAGCTCGGTAGCTCGGTAGCTCGGTGGCTCGGTAGCTCGGTAGCCAGGCAGCTAGGCAGCTAGGCAGCTAGGTAGCTAGGTAGCTAGGTATGTATCGCTCGGCAGTCTCTCATGTCGTTCTTTCAGAGCTTATTTATCTCTTTACTGCTTCACGTTTGGTTTGATTATTTAGATGCATGCGTCTTTGCAAAGCCGTGCATGCACTTGTCTATGTTAGTATTCATCTGCTTCTTCAGGCACTTATGTATCTGTATGTACCTTCATATCTAAGCCACTCAACAAGTGTATACACATACACAGATGGACAGACAGAGAGATATACTTTTTGATTTATTGATTGATGGATTGGCTGGCTGGCTGGCTGGTTTGTTGGTCGATTGGTTTTGGGTGGCTGGTTGGTGGGTTGGTTGGTTGGTTGATTAGTTGATTGAGCTGGGTGCGAGGCTGGGTTGGTGGCTGGCTGGCTGGGTGGTCAGGTTGGTCGGGTTGGTTGGCTTGGCTTTGCTTGGCTTCGGTTGGCTTGGGTTGACTTGGGTTGACTTGGGTTGGCTCGGCTTGGGTTGGCTCGGCTTGGGTTGCGTTGGGTTGGTTTCGGTTGGGTTCGGTTGGGTTGGGTTGAGTTGGGCAACGGTTGTTGGGTTGGTTGGGGTGGGGTTGGGGTGGAGTTGGGGTGGGGTTGGGTTGGGTTGGTTGGGTTGAGTTGGGTTGGGTTGGGTTGCGTTGGGTTGGGTTGGGTTGGGGTGTGCGATCCGCGGTGCCCGGTGCGCGGTGCGGATGGGGTGGCGGGTGGGTTGCACGCGACGCACATGTGCAGCAAATACCCCCGAACCACTGCAAATCATGCAAGCAATGTTTGAGAAGTCGGACACACCAGGAGAGTGATCGAAAGACTCGAGCCAAAGCCGGTGCACCTCTGAGTTGCCAGCGTCTTTGACAGTGCCTTCGATGGAAAAATGCTGCAAAGAAAGAAACCAGACATTTTCATGAGCACTGCGCCCTGCCTCGGATTTCGAAGAGACGACCGCAGGGAGAGTCTTCCTGCGCTGGTAGCCTCATGCTCGAGGTAGCAGCTGAGGATTTAGTGTCTAGGAAGTGCTACGGGGCTCCGGCCAGGCTTCGTCGACGCACTTTTAACCTCCTCGGCTCAGCTTCGCACAGCTTTTCACAAGGTTTCACGCAAGAACATGCCGGCACGTGGGCTTGAGACGGCTGACAGGAGTGTTAACTCGAACAGCCTTGGGTACAGCGTTAGGCCTTCCCTCCCTTCACCCTCAGCTACGTACATTGCATTGGAAACACACTTCACGTCGTTGCTGCTCAGATTCGGCATCGCGCCCAACAGGCATGACACAACGCACTTTCTCCAGCCTGGGCACCGAGCATGCTGGGAAACTCTTGTGGAGTCAGAAGTGGCCAAGGCCCCCGCGTTACACGCCGTGCATCTGCATCGGGCTCATCACGATCCTCCGACGAGTTGCCGGCACCCTCGAGATTCGAGCCAAGCCAGCTGCAGCTCGCGCACCGTCCGCGTGGTTGACGAGGACTTCGCACAACGCTAGCGGTGCAGCAGTTGCCCTGCGCCCTGCCTGACTGAGGCTGCTCATCCTGGCACCGAAGTTCAGCTCCGCGCTGGAAGCTGGCTTCCTCACAGGACTCCGATCCCAACTGCTGCTGGACTGGCCCACCGACATTCCATGACATTCCGACAGCGGCACCCGGTCAAATCTGGCCAGCCAGAATCTGTACATTCCCAGATGTTGAAGCAGCAGACCTGCCGACGCACCCATCGTGCCGCAAGCACAAGGGCTGAGGCCAACCTGGTTTGTCAGGTCGATTGCCTGAGTACAGAGTGCAGTGAGCTACCGGTTGCGGGAATAGCTTTCTCAGTACGATGCCATTTCCACACAGTCTCCAAGTTCCAGCGGTTTCACGAAAGCGGACGCCCTTGAATGGCATCCCACAGTGCCCGCACCCAAAGAGTAGTGATTTCAATCGTTGAGGAAGCAACCTCTCGAGCTCCGCAAAAGCTCGCATGCAAATACGTCCTCGCTGATTCACCTCCCGTGGCTTGAACATTGGATAAGTCCGGGGGCCAATGCTGGACAGCTGTAGGCACCCGGCAAATATTGAGACTATTCTCTGGATGTTCTTGGCACCTTAGGGGGCTCAGCTGAGTTCACACCCTTCCCGAAAAACTGGCGTTGATTGATTTTTTGCCAAGGCATGCCAGGGTGCAGGGCAGACGTTGGGAGAAGACAAAGCCAACACCATCGGCTCGGCTCAGCTCGCCGGAGGTGAACTCGATTTCGCAGATCAAACAGGCGAAGAAAAGCCCGCAGTTGTGCCCCACTAAGGAAGCCCCCAAACGAGCCTGGACCAGATATCTTTGGAACCCATCTTGATGTACTTGTGATTCAGAAACCACAGACAATCGTCCCTCGTATCCCACCTGACTGGCGTGGAATCCTCGGTGATCTCCAGGCAACACTCCGGCCTTTGTGAACTGGCGGAAATCCGGCTGCACTATGCCCATGCCTTTGGTCTCCTGATGGCCGCAAAAGGAGGATACAGGAGGATACAGGTCCGCAAAATGAGCACCTTCGAAACTCTTTTGGAGCTGTGGCGAGCAAAGACTCTCTCACAGGTCAAACTCTGCAGTGCAGAGACAATTTGGCCAAACTATGCCAAATGCGTAGCCTCGACCTCTCTGGATTCGGGGACCAAGATACACCCACCGTGGAAAGTGACGTGGCACAAACGGACAGCAATTGCTGCCCGATTGCGGGCTTCAAAATGACAGCATTCAAGCATCTGCTGTGCACCGAGAAGTCGGGTTTGAAAGCCGACGTTTGGGAGGCACTGCCTTGGGCAAATGCCCTGCCTGCTCCGAGCCATTCCAGCCCAGCAGGGGATGCTCTTTCTGAAGCTGCGTTCAGCAATGCTGCTCAGCTTCCTGGAGCACAAAACAGCGAGTGCCACAGAGCCCCAATGCAACGAGTCAAAACTACAGAGGCAAGCCTAACGACTGCCAGCTGCGCAAGCAGGGCCACCGGCAGGCATGTTGCCAGGATTTGCCCCCAACACCGTCAGCCCTTCGATACGAAGTACGCGAAGAAGCATCGGGCCCTCTCCTGTCTCTGTCTGAGGGAGGGAAGGCTGCGGAATCTGGAGCAGCGCATATGATACCAATATATTAAGCGGCTACTGTTGAAGTCCACCTGAAGATGTTCGTCGTCGGCAAGTGTCGAAGTGCGAAATGACCTGCTGACGCCTTCCTGTACTCTGAACGACTCGCCGACGTCCGCAGGCGGAACGCACTCTTTCAAGTCGCAGCTCTCGGGAAATCCGAGACAAAGCTGCCGGAAAATCAAAGAACGAAACACGTCACCGGCGAGCCCTAGACCCTTCCCTTCGCTCGCAGCCGACCTTACCTTGCTTTTTTTAGCTTCCACTCCGCCGGCTGAAACTGGAAATCCACGACCACGACCACACCGCTTACCGCTTGCCGCTGCGATCGACCTCGTCCAGCACGCCTCTCGACTCTCTAGGGCGGTTCTATGTGCTTCCGCCCTGCAGGGCAGGCAGGGGAAGCAAAGTCAGCGTCTTTGAACTCGAGAACCTTGAGTCAAAGTTCGAGATCCTACCACGCCTTGTCACTCTCGCATGGAGTTTGACTGGCTTCAGTTGTACGGAAGTTGTAGCTCTTCTTCGAGTAGAGTGGAATCTCTATAACTTGTCGATGCATTCCTCAATTTTGAAAGATAAGAGTGGGCTCAAACAGCCATCCCCCTACGAAAGCCTTGAGTTGACTGGTTTCCGGTGGACATCGCGCATCGCGCGACGCCTGAAATCGCGGTCCCTGTGCCGTTGTGCCTTCTGGTGGTGGATTGTCTTCTGACGTTTGAGTGCTAATGGAGGCTGAAACGTCGTCGCGCTTCCCACACCCACCCCTATTTCAAAACACCAAGCTTATCAATGTGTGGCTGAGCGAAGGGATCGGGGTCAGTGTCACTGAGACTTATAGGAATGGAATGACTTGACGTCCGAATTACTTGCAGGATCCAAGCGCAACCTCCAGTCACGCAAGGAATTAGACGCCGGGCCGGGCCTTGCAAACAGCGTCTGCTCCACGCTGTGGTGGCAGAAGATGGAAAGATGACAGACTGTGCAGCTAATTAGGACTCCTCTTGTGTGTCACAGGTCTGCTTGCCCGTCAGCATCATCCTTAACCCGGGAGACAAGCTGGACACATGTCTGGTTGCAAAGGTCTTCTGGTCTTCTTGTCAAGATGCTTCATGGCAGTGTGCATGTCTATCACGGAGGTTCGATCTTGCAGAAGATCCAACCTCGGCACAGATCTGCAACAGCTGGACAACGATGCTCCAATCCACTCACTCCAAGCCACACTCCACAGTGTGAGCCCCTGTGGTCCTGCAGCGACTCAGCGAATCAAGTTGCTTGTGTCACGGGTGCTGCACGCTCGCCTCAGACAGTGCGATATCCAGAGCAGTTCGGCCACCTAACAGGGTAAAGACGAATTGCTTCAGAATAGGACTGTAACGGCAGCAAACCGCAAACCTGTGCCTGACGTCCGCTGATTCCTGTCTGCACCCTCCTCCAGAAGAATCCGAACCTTAGCTACACAGTGTTTCCGTTCCACATTCCACTGAGATTCAGAAACAAGACTCTTTTCTGCAATACGCTGCGACAGTATAGGCAGTATAGGTACAGGAATATGCTTCACTGCCGCCATTCTCTCGAAAGACTGAACCGGAACGTGCGATGCTTGACAGCGGCAATGAAAACAAGAATCAAAACACCTGGGTCAAGGTTTCACTAAAACCCTGCCTCATCGAGCTTCTGTGTAGCTCCCTCGACAAATCTCGGATGGTTTTCCCGCGAGAGAAATGATTTAAAAATGGCGGAGGATGACGGAGGAGGCTCAGGGTCTTGGCGGCACACCCCAGCTTCCGAGCCCGAGACCTACAGCCCTCATCGGCCTCGATAGACCGTCCGAAAAGGGGCAACATGGGCCAACGAGGCCCACAGCCAAGCAGTGCGTGGTGCGCTCTTCGGGCGCGGAACTTCGGGGACCCGAGCCGAAGATGGTTCAAACGAGCTCTGAGCTTTTCTGACAGCTTCTGCAGACCTTCAGGGAAGAGGGCTCCCATCAAAGCTGTGGCTACCGCGCCCACAGTGCCGCGCTCGCTCTCGGAACGCAACTAGATACTTTGCGTGACTTTACAGCGACCGTGTCCGACCTGCTAGATTTTCCCTTGCTTGCAGGTTTGAACCGCTTGCCAGCCTGTGTGAGCTTTACGTTTGCGCCATTTCAACCCTATACAGCGAGGGTCCAGCATGCACGTGGCATCACGTGGCTCGGGCTTGGGCCAGGGTCGGATAGACTCAAGTGACCAGCTCGGACCCTCTCAACGGTGGCTGCCGGGAGCCACCATCCCAAAGCCTACAACACGAGAGTATCTTGTTTTCCCAAACAGCAAACTACAACATCCGGCTGCGGCTGGGCAACAAGTTCGGTGTGTCCCATCCGGGCCGCGACGTGGATCGGATACAGCGTCTCGCCTCTCCTCGAGCGGTTAAGTCGGTGTGAGATTCGTCGGTTTTAAAGTTTAGGCATGCTGGCGCTGATGTAAGCCGTTTGCAGTGGCCAGTCGGCAAAACGCTGAGGACTGGACTTGAAGAAAGGGAAGCAAGTAGCTGGTGGCTGTGCTTCGCCTTGTGTGAGACCGACCATCTAACATTTACCAGCGATGTCCCCGTGGAAACGTCTGCATTCTCAAGCAAACCCGTGCTTGCTCTTTGCTTGATCTTTGCCTTGCAGATGCCAAGCTCTTCTCTTGCTATGCTGGAAGCATGATCTGTTGCCCAGCTACGGACCTCTGCAAAAAGGTGAAAAGTCAGTGTTCGTCAAGCTGAGGTATTGCCATGCCCACATTGCGAACCTGTCTCGTATGCGTCACTTGCATCGATTCCTGCTAGATTAGTGTACGGAAGAAGTTTGAGAAAACCGAAAGTCGAAACCGAAACCAATGGATCCGAGAGTCTGATGTCACGGCTGAAGCTATGCTGCTTGAGAAACTCATTCAGCAACTCCTCTCTCACTCGAGTTCTGTGTGCCCGTGGAAGGTTATGCAGGCAAGTCTGCGGACGATCCAAGCCCGCTTACCGACAGAACTTGCGAGCGACGCCCCCCCCCCCCCCCCCCCC